CACATTTTGACTGTGGTCTCAACATTACTGACCAGGTCCTTCTCCATGATCTCCTCCCACCTCTGAGGATCAAACTAAAAGCAAGGTACTCACATTTGGCCCAGAGAGACCATCAGCGAAACTCCTCATTCCTAAATATTTGTTCTTTGAAATGTCTTTTTCAATTAGATCTCACCCAAATGTTTGAGAGTCAGACTGAATTCCAACTTCCAGCTCCAGAACAGACATGTTGAGCCTGCATAATTACTGCAGCCAGCTTTGTTGGCTATAAAAACATGGATTTTTGCTCCCTCTCAACTATAAAATAATCAATAAATAGAATCCAGATGAAAAATGCCGGCGTTTAGGAGAACAACTGCTTTATGGTTCTTTTCTTTTGGGTCTAATTAACACTTTGGGGATAAAGTATGCTGTTACATTTACCCGGTCAGCTAAGTTGAAACACAAACTCTCCTCTTCCTGCTGAGATACAGCTTCATATCAGAAATACAGGAAGACAGAGAGACAGAGTTTCAAAACATTTTGAGATGCTCAACAAACAGACCTGTGAACCTGTGATGTGGACTTCATTCAGTCCCTCTCTGTTCACACTGGCTGTTCAGTTGTTGTTTGCTCCCCCTGCACAATTCGTTAAGAACACATTGCATAGTTACTGTCAAATGAAACACAGATAGTCCCGTTAGCAGGAGAAGCAATCTCTCTGACTTTCAGTCTTTTAATGAAGAAGACATGTTTTTTTGGACAATGACCACCCAGGCCATGAAAGTTTCATGAGGGGCTTCGGAGTGGATGACACCTTTTCAATTATAACACTGCTATAATAAACCCCCACAGAGCCACCAGGCATGGAATCTACATCCAATACACAACACCTATTTATTCCCTAATTATATCGCAATATATTCTCTCTGTGTGTGCTGATGAAGATAAAATATTCTTTTAATTCTATGGCCTCCTGGGGGTGAGGGGGAGGGGATGTACATAGAAGGATATACATAGCAAGTCCTGTGAGCTCCTGGAGCTAAATCACAGCCTTCGTTCCAGGCTCCCCTATCTTATAATCTCAAAAAATCATTCACTTTCCCTTGTTCTACCACATTGGTTCTCAAAGCGTGGTCTCTAGAACTACAGAATCAGCATCACCTAGGAACTTGTTTAGAAATGCAAATTACTGGACCCACTCCAGACCCGTTGAATCAGAAACTTGGGAGTGTGGACTAGTAACCTGTGTTTTCACAAGCCCTCCACGCTGAAATCTGAGAATCACTAGTCTGCAAGGAAGAAATGTTTTTCTAGGAAGAAAAGAGCAGCATTTTAAATTGAATCCTGTATCAGGGAACACCTGGATTCTATACGGGCTGGGCCCCTCTTACTGCACAGCTGTCCCAGTCTACAGATTCAGGGCTCCATTTACCCATCTGTACAGTGGGGCTCCAGAGCATGCCAAACAGCTGTGGATGCTGGAATTTAAGAGGCACATGGTTACCTGGCACCAGTCTCTATGGATACCTAGCAAGATCATAGTTGCCAACACTCACCAGCTCCCTTCCTGGCAGAAGCTCTGTACAGCAGTTCTCCAATGCGGCATCTAAGGTCACCACTGCAGCTGCCTTTGGGTTACCCCTGGCAACCAGGAGCTGGGGTCATGGAAGCCCACAGAATCTCCAAATCTCATAGCCAACAACTTCAAACCTTTCACCTTGGAGCCTTAAACCACTAGAGGGGAGGTTCAGAATTCTCTATTGTATTGTCCCATTTCAGGACTTCTTCAGACATAATTTGTGTATTTGCCTCTGTTCTATGACTAGACTTTAAGCCTATGGAGGATACAGCCTAGAATGTCAACATCACAAGGTATGGGACTCTTCCTGTCTGATTCATCGCCGTATCCCAGGGGCCTAGCCCAGTGCCTGGCACAAAGAAGGAGCTCAAGAACTATTTGCTGATTGCATGTTCCTGCCTTTCATAAGTTCGGAACACTGAAGTAGCTAAAAGTTATGGTTGGGAAGGAGCAAAAGAGCTGGGCGCGGTGGCTCACTGTAATCCCAGCACTTTGGGAGGCTGAGACAGGCAGATCGCTTGAGGTCAGGAGTTTGAGACCAGCCTGGCCAACATGGCAAATAATCATCTCTACTAAAAATACAAAAATTAGCCTGGCATGGTGGTGCACACCTGTAGTCCCAGCTACTTGGGAGGCTAAGGCAGGAGAATCACTTGAACCCAGAAGGCAGAGGTTGCTGTGAGCCAAGATTGTGCCACTGCACTCCAGCCTGAGTGAGAAAGTGAGACTCTGTCTCAAAAAAAAAAAAAAGAGAGAGAGAGAAGGGGCAAAAGAATGAGAATGATTGAAACCCCTGGGAATGATGAGAAAGAAGAAAAGAAGCAAAAGCCAGAAAATAGCCCCTCTGACCCCACCACCCTTGGCTCATGGGGCACTGACTTGACAGCCAATTGCTCACCTTAAGTGTAGGCCTAGAAGTCCCTTGGGACCAGGTTCTGCGCTTGAGCTCTGAGCAACTGGCTCTTCTAACTTCCCTAGTGATTCTCACTCAAAGGCCCAGTGCTCACTGGCCCTGACAGTGCTGTGCTTTGACCAGCCTCTTAATCAGCTTTCCTGCCTCCTTCTTAGGACTCAAGCCCTGTATCCTGACAACCCTCCTTCCCCAACTGGAAACCTACCTATCAGCTCCTAATCTTTCCTTCTCCAGGGACTATCCCAAAACCACCCCTCCTGAAGTGATTTCACCTGAGAATGTCTACATGCACTCACTTCCTTGACTACAAAACAATGGTTTCTCTTTCCCTATGGGTTGCACCTGACGGAGCTGAGCCCTGTGTGTGGGCTCCATTTACCCCCAGAGCCCGGTGCAGGGACAGAACAGGTACACAACAAACTGTCACATGAGTGATTTATCCTGGGAGATACTCCCAGCACAGCACCTAACCCGAAAATCCAGAGACAGGTCCTCTGCCTCTAACCTCACACACACTCAGCCCTCAAGCCTGTCAAGGATGTGCAGTGACCTGACTAGGAACACCTGCCCTGTGCGAAGAAAGCAATAAAGTTAGTGTGGACTACTAGAAAAGGCCCTGACCTGGAAGTCAGGAGACTTGGTTTACCTACTCTTCCTCCCGTATAGCACCTCTAAGCAAGTCCTTTCAATTCTCTGGACCTCAGTTTGCTGATCTGTTAGTGGGAGGAAGTGGCGAGATTGCAGTCCTAGACCTCGAATTTCTAGCGGCTTAAACAAAATGTGAGCACCGGAGAGAGCTGATGCATGGTGTGCACCAGGAAAATCCGCCAGAGAAGCAGAGGATGCTCAACGGCTGCTCAGCGCCCTCGGGGCACCCCGCCCAGTCTGCAGGGAGTGATGGCAGAGGGACCCTCTCCGGAAAGCCTCGAGGTTTTGGCACCACTAAACCCCCTAAACCTCTCAAGAGAATCTCCCGACAGCACTCCAACAAAGAGGGCTGCTGGGCCGGGGCTCCGCTGGCTCCGAGAAGCCGCAGAGGTCGGCGAATCCTGCCCCTCCGACTCCGGGAGCTAGCAGGACGGAGTCCCCTGCAGGTTTCGAATGCCCCAGCCGGCCGCCGCGGGTTCTCCCCCGCTCTCCCCCGCCAGGCCGGGGCTTTAACCCTTGTTGCCCCAGCAGAGCGCCGGAGGGGCGCTGGTGCCGGTGCGCGAGGACCCCAACCCGAGCGAGCCGAGATGGCCGGGAGCCCAAACCATCCCAAAGGTCTCCTCCAACCCGCCGCAGACCCTGTTCTCTCGGCTCTTGGAGGGATGGAAAGTGGGTGATCCTGAAGCGGAGCCACTTTGAAATATTTTTCCGGAGAACATGACCACCCGGGAGACAGTCACACTGGCCTCGCAGCGCGGGTTGCGGGGCACGGATCCCAAGACGCGGCTGCCGCGGGATGGAGCCCGCGAGTCCAGGTCCGGGAGAAGCCGCCTGGGCTCGGGGCTTCCGGGGACTGCCACGCCGAGGCTCGGCGCTCCCGGGCTCAGGACAGGGACGGCTGCGTCCCACTCACGGACCTTGACGCCCGCGAGGAGCGATTCTGCCTATTTTTAAGTAGTATTTTTTCTAACAAATTAGGAAAATAAACCAAGTCCAGGAGGAAGACGGCTGCGCTCGGCAGCTCCAAGGAGCCACAACCACCACCCATTTCCCCACCTCCAACACTACCGCCCACGGCTGAGCGAGAAGTTGGGAACTTCGGGACCACGCTCCAGGCGCGCGCAGAGAGTGACTTGCTTCTCCTTTAACTTTGGGAGCCAGGGTCGCAGCCTAGGGCAGGAAGATTGTCCTGGGAGCCAACCAACAAGGCCGCCCAGGTCCTGGACTTCCCGGAATAGAGTAACGGCGACGGGATGGGAAAGAAATAGGGGGATACACTTTCCGCCCCTCTTCTCCCAAAAGCAAAAGCGTGCACGGCACCTGCTGGGGCTTGGCGGCCGCAAGGCGCAAGGGCGGCCGCCGCCGAAAACCTGCTGCATCCCCGCAGGCTCTGCGTCCCGACCCCGGCGGGGAAGGCGCCAGTGTAGTGAGTGCAGCCGGCACACTCGGGGCGGCTTGAGAGCGGAGTCCCCAGACTCAAGGCGGCGGACCGGCGCCCTCCCCGGGACACCCGCGCGCCCTCCCCGGGACACCCGCGCCTCGCCGCTGCTCTCGGGTCTTCCCCCGCACGTGGAGGCGCCGCGGACACTGCATCCCGACTGCAGCCGGAGGGCTGCGCCTGCCCACACTGAGACGCCTCACGTCCTGTCGGACCCCCTGGCTCTCCCGCAACCGCCAGCATCCACCTCCTCCCCGTGCCAAACTCGGCTTCGGCAGCCCGGACTCGGGCAGGGCGGCCGGGGGTCCGCGCAGCTGGTGGAAAGTTAGTCGCGGGGCTGCAAAGTCCCCTCCCCAAGGCCGGAACCCCCACCCCCGCGTCCCCTGGTGCCCCCGGCGTCCGAGGCTCCGCGTCCTCGCGGTCCCCACCGAGCCACCTACCTGCTCCCGCGGCCGGCCCAGGGCTCGGCCGGCCAGTCGCGCGGTCTCGTCCTCCGGTGCCCGAGCCAGGCCAGAGCGCCAGGCAGGAGCCGGGGGCCGCGAGCAGCCGGAAGCCGGGCGGCTGGCAGCGGGCACCAGGAGCGACTGAGCGAGCGAGCGAGCGAGCAGGCGGGCGGCTGGAGCCGCGGCGGCTGCTGCCGAGCCTGCCCCCACCCTCTTGGTCCCTCGGCCCCTCCCTCTCCTTCCCTCCCAGCCTCCCTCCTCCCGGCTCGCAGCTCCCTCCCTCCGCTCTCCCGCACACCCCCCTCATTTTTTTCCTCTTTCTCTCTCTTTGGTCCTTTCAGACCCTGCTGTTTCGCGCGCGCTCGTTCGTTCTTTTTCCTGTCTTTAGCCTCTCTCTTCAGCTTGCCTTTGGATTCCCCTTTTTCTCCGATTCATCCCTTTCCAGCATCTCACCTCCCTCCTCCCCACTTTCGTTCTTTTGCTTATTTATCTTGCTCCCTCTTTTTCTATTTTCTGTTTTCTCCTCCTGCTAACCTTCTCGCGAGTCTACTCCCCTTTCTCTTCCCTACTCCTCCTTTCCCTCCTGGGGGAGCGGAGCGGCCTGCGCGCCTCCTCCTCTGTGCTCTGGATGGGAGATCCCGGGGATGGGGCTGGGGGTGGGGTTAAAGGGAGCCAGGGGCACCCCCAGGCCGTGCTCCTAACTGGCCGAGGACCGAGAGGGATGGGCAGGGCCGGAGACAGGGATTCAAGACAGGTGCTCGAGAAACGTCTGGGCCAGGAAAAAGGCAAGAAAAGCAAAGAACTCAAAATGTTAAGACCCAAGTCGGGCTGAGCCGTGCCTGGTGAGATGAGGAAACTGAGACCCAAAGAGAAGAGGGCAAGGAACTTGCCTTGCCTAGGTCTACTCCAGGCAAGGTCGAGACGCCCACCGCTCCTGGTGGAGTGGTACTGGACTCCTGCGCTGATGAGGGAAGTGCGAGGGTGCCTGAGGCCGGTCAGCTCGTTCCCGTCCCTTTGCCTGCTTTTGCGCCCAAGTCCCCGGGGCCATGGGGAGGAAGCCTTCCCCTTCTGCTATAGCACCTGGGGCCGCCTGGCTGCCCCGCGACACTCCTAGTGAGGCCAAGCCAGACGGGGGTAAAGACCTGGCTCTTAAGAGTGGTGCGGGGAACCCCCTTTCCTCCACCTCCTACCCGTCTCCAGGAAATGTGGGCTGACTCCCGCTTACACCGGATAGGAGTGGTGGCAGGGTCCTTTGCTAGTGGGGTTTGCCTTCTTTTGTTCTTCAACTAAAACCGTAGCGGAAAGGCCCAGGGTTGGAAAGGTGGTTATACACACCTAGGGCGATGAATTTTTGCGAATAAAACAGGCCTAATGCCTGAGACTGGGAGCTGTGTGTCTGTCCGCGAGTCTGAGCACCTAGCCCTCCCGGGCCATTCTGGGTCTGATGGGGCAAGTCCCTCCGCTAGAAGCTTTTCCTGGCACTTCCTCATTTCAGCCCAGTGGAGTCCGGAGGAGAGACGTGGGGTCTCCTTTCCCATGGAGTCCACCTGCGGCCCGACACCACCAGGATTCTCCTAGTTCCACCCCTAATTTCTGGGGCCAGAGTTTGTTCTCCTGCTGTGGTACACAACCAGAAGCAGAACCAGAAGTACAACCAGAAGCAGAACCTCCGCTCAGCCCCTGGGTAAAAATCTACCTTGGGGTGCCGGCAAAGCTCTGCACAAATATTTTATTCATTCCTCTCTTTGGGATATCAAATCAAGTCAATAAAGCCCGGCCTGGGCCTCTGTGGTTCACACCACAAAACCAGAAGAAGCATCTGCTCAAGGCTGAGACTCGAGTGGGGCACATGAAGTGCTCACCCTCAGAGTCTGCAACTGAGGGTGAGCGCCTCCTTAAATTCTCCCCTCAGAGCCTCCCTGCCTCACCCTAGTCCCGACTGCAGGCAAATCTGAGGGCTGCTGTTCACCAGCTGTCTGGCCTTGGTCCGTGGCTGTCCCCATGCTGGCATTATTTCCCCACCTGACTATGAAGAGGCTGAATTCGATGTTCTCTAAGATTTTCTCCAGCTCTGAGGTGCTACAGTTTGTGGGTATCATAGATGCCAAATTTGTATGCCTGCTACACTGCTTACTAACTGTGACACTGGGCAGTCACTTAACCTGTTTCCCTATCAGTAAAATGGGAATGATGATAGTGCTGTGAGCTGTGTGAGGATTAAACCACATAATGCACCGAAGCACAGTTACTGACACAGAGTAGCACTTGACTACTGTGAGCAATTAATACTGCACAAGGTAGGGTTTTGCATATCTTTCCTTCATCTTCACATTCCCATTTTCATTATGAGTTGCGATCCCCACCATGCCCCACAACCCTCCCTCTACCTGGTAGCCATCCACTTATAAGTCTCAGACTTTAGTTCTGATAGGTTTGGGAAGGTAGACAGGTCTTCCCATCTCATCCCATCTCAATGAGCAATAAATAGGAAGCAACTCCCACCCTCTTCTCTCACACACTCACACCTGCCAGGCTTGAATTGTGTGTCTGAGGATTGCTGGCCCCTCCACGCTGGGCTAGGGATTGTCTGGTTTCCTGCCACACTCTAAAAAGCCACACCGATCTATAAAGCTGCACCTTCCCTACCCAGATGGCAAGGCTCCAAGGACACATGTCCCAACAGAGCCAGAAACACTTTTAGCAAACATCTCTGAGGTTGGCTGGGGGTCACGTTAGAGCCCATGATCCATCATTCATTTGTCAGTCTCTGAGTGCCTACTTACAGGAGGCACCACTCTGCACAGCCCACTGCCATATCCACCTTCAACTGGCTGCAACAAGTTCATTTTGGAAGCTATGCCATCTAAGCCCAGGCTACTCATTGAAGGCCATATTTGAGATAAAAATCCACTATTCTATGCTATAAACCCTGCTATCAAAAAGTTTACATACCTGGTTGATGTTGCCAGAAAAAAAAAAAAAAAAAAGGAGCAGAAGCAGAGTAGGGGATCTGGAAGAGGAAGCCTGAGTTCAAATCCTTGGCTCTGTCATGTGTTGGCTATATGACCACAAGCAAGTGCAATTGCTCCCTCTGCACACTTTGGCTTGGACAAGGGTGAGAAGTAAAGAAGCCAAAACTCCGGTGACTAAGGTGAGAGGATCTCCTCCTCTTAGAAATAAATTATCTGAAGGCTAGGACACTGGACAGAGTGTCCAAGGCTCAGACCACAATGGTCTTTCCTTCAATCAAGTGTGCAGGCAGGGAATTCTCTTTGTTTTCCTTCTCTCTCCCTCCATTCCTTGATGAGAGATCACCTTTCCCTCTCTATCTTCCTGCAGCACTCTGACTCAAAGCCCCAAGCAGGAATACCCACAAAATGAACCCAGGGATGGCTGGAATTTGTTGAATGACTGAACGATTTCGGAACTTGTGGGGTCTTTGAAAACTTCAAGTGGTACACAGTACGTCAGGGTGCTTGAGAGGGGAATGTCTCCCTCCCCACCAGACTCTAACATATTTGGGGTCAATGCCATGTCTTATTTACCTTCATATCTGATACAAAGCCTAGCATAGGGCCTTACCTTGTTAAAAGAATAAGTAAAATATCTACAATTTATTAATAAGATGCACACATGGTATCATTTAAACTTCATGACAATTCTGTATAGTAGGCACTATTATTTCCCTTTTACAGAGGAAAGACTGAGGGCCAAAGAAAGTAACTTGCCCTAGGCCACATAGCCAGTAAATGACAGAACCTGAATTTGAACTCAAGGTTGTTCTAAGCTCTTTTCTCGATGCTGTAGTGTCTTGCACTATGGGACTGGGACTTAGGTAAGGCAACCTAGGGAGGCATTCACTCTCAGGAGCCGAATGCACATACACAAATCTGAAAGTAACCTTCGAAAAATGCCCCCAAAGCGTTATCGAGAATTTTGGGATCCCTGTGGTCCTAGCCATCAATGAGGTGCAGAGAAGAAACCATTGCATAACTGCGTTACATCTGCTGATAGAACATGCACTGATGCAATATACACCAGACACATCTGCAAATATACCCACACACAACAATCCTGCCCGATGCACAAATTACTGGGAGATGACAACCCAACACACCTACACAGACAGCAACACAACCGAAACATCCCCTTGCACATACAAATATAACACAATTCCTGCACTCTTAAAAACAGGGGCGGGAGGCAGAGGATCAGAATAAGACCCAGTGGCATGACTCTTTTCACAAGCTTTTTATGAACCCACAACCACCAATCGAAGTCTTGATTAACTTGGTTGTATTTATTAAATCGTGTTCAATATTTAATAACTTTGAATATGGATTGAATATTTAATGAGATTGGTGGAGATCTATTTGTGTATAAATGTCAGAAGTGCCAATTGCTTTGAATTGAGAATTGAGTCTGTGACTCATTCTCAGTAGCTGGTACTGGAGATCTCTCCATTCTACATTTTCATGGATTTGTTTAAATTATAGGTTATCATCATGACATTATGACACTATTTATTATGATGCTCCACTATTATAGCATTATTAGGCCATCCCAGAAAATGTGGCATTAGATACTGAATTTCCTTGCATCCAGTAAAACCTGGATTGGGGTCTCTTGGTCTCCTTCCTCCATGTTTACTAGGAAAAGGGGCCAAATACGACACTGTGAAATGCATGCTGTCTTAAGCCCTCAATCCTCTCACAGGCACAAGATGATCTGGAAGCAATTTCTGTGTTGTGCTTTGTCCAAGACCAATCTGTCCAAAAGAAGAAACTCTACTTTGTGGACTGAAGACAAGCAACATGAATTTCTGAAACTTTTTTTACAGAAATAAGAGAATCTGATGCAAAATGCAATTTTCAGAGGCATCATGGGGATTCGTGAAAGTCCTTGGAAGATTTGAGATTCAGGAACTCAATGAATAAATTTAACTATCCATAAGTGTGGATTTTACATAAGGTACAGTTATATATTAATGATGTTCTCTGGCTAATAAGTAATTATAAAATGTGGTTTGTTAGGGGTCAAAGTTAAATCACTGGAAATAGCCCTTGTGCCCCAGCAGGCT